CTTACGACATACTCTAATAGTCACAATGGGAAAAAAATTAAAAAGAGACTACGGAAAAAGTAATGTGTCTGGTTATTTTTTATATCTCTTCAATATTGTTGCTTAAATTTAGTTAATCTTAATTTAAATTTTAAAATTTGATATATCATTTCTAATTAATGGTATTTATTTTTCATTCGAATTTACAATCAATAACAAATTCATAGATGTTGAGATTTTTTTTTTATATAGATAATAAAAATGAAGAAAACATAGAATTACGATTTCAATTGCATGTCCCTAATTTCTCATATTCTAATTTAATTGAACCTTAATTTTTATTTTAAATTATGTCTCTCAAGTTGTTATTAATTTTTGGTCATGAAAGTTAACAATCTTTGCCTTGTGCGATTCTTAAATTGATCATGTAATAATTTATACAAGACAAAACATGAAAAATAAAGTGGTTGATTAAATTAATTAACCTATTTGAAAGTTAGAAATTTGGTTGATCATGCCAGTTCCTAAACTAATTATCTTGCAGTTCCACTAATTAACAAATATTGATCATGTACTATTACTCAACTATCATCACAATAGCCAAATTGACCAACTCCTAGCTAGTATGAATTTAAAGTAACAAAATAATCCAATCAATTATATAATGAGTTCAAATTAAACTAAAATCAAGGGATCATATGTTCAACTTACATATCATATCCTTTGTAATTTAGACATGAAAAAAATAACACAATATTACAAGGGAAGACATTAGAGAAGGGAAAAGGAAAAACAAACTTATTACATATAGTTATAGTATATCTTATAGTTTTCTTCCTATCTCCTAGAAGCTCTCTCTCTCTCTCATAACTCTTAGAAAATAAAAGAGTTTTTGAAATCAAGAGTAAAATTGAAAACCTCAAACACTTACACTCTCATTTATATTTAAAGTTTTTAAAGTTTGCAACCTTTAGCACGATTGTGCTAAATTTCAATATGATTGTTTTCATTTGGTATGACTATATGTTCTTTATTCAACATGGTCGAGTGTGCTCTTTTAACATAACCATGCTCTTTATTCAACATGAGTGTGCTTTCTCAACATGACTATACTCTTTATTTAAAATGAGTGTCCTCCTTCAACATAGTCATGTTCTTTATTTAACAACTGTGTTGATTTTATTTTAGAGCACATTTTTTGACACTTTTTCAATTAAGCTCAAGAGCACTTGTTTGCTACATAGTTAGAGGAAAATTAGTTTTTATGCTAATATATTTATGCATTAATGAGACAAAACTCATCAAAAATACCCAACCAAAATGCAACAATTATGAGTTGAACAAGTATACGAAAATGACACTAAGTTTAACAATTAGCATTTAGTCAATACCAAGTATAGTGAGAAAATCTCACCTCAATCAATATGATTTTCAATTTGAAAAGTTATGCATTGAGGCAATTTAGGGTAAGTTGAATTTGTTATTTTCGTTTAAGGGTTCGAAATAAGTTATTTTTTAGGTAACCATATTATTTATATAAAACATCTATTGGTTCCGCTTATAACTAATTTTTGTTAGAAAACTTGATTGATTATTTTTAGTGGGATCTTCCTTCTTAATCATATTTCTTTACATGCACAAAAACATTACTTTAAAAAGTTGAATCTAGTATCACTTGAATTAATGACTTGTTAGTATCTAAATTAAGTTATAGTCATAGTGTATGTAATGTAAATTATATATATATATTAGTTATATATTGTCATATAATTGATTGAAAATTAATTTTTTTCATATGTATTTTATTACATTGACTATTTAAATATGTGTCTAACAATTTAAATTTATATATAGTTATTATTTATATAAAAAAATGAATTATTAATATCCTCTTTATATATATCGGTATCACAAAAATTCAACACTTACTTTTTTTATTTGACAAAAAAAAAATGCATTTTTATAGTTAAATTGTGTTAGTGTGTTTCGGAAGAAAACTTGACCCTTTTATAAAGATTTTTTTTTGAGAGAGATTTTTTTTACCGCAATGTTTAAGTTGAGATGGTCTATTAGGCTCTAATTTTTAATGTTTTACTATCATTTATGGAAAGTTATGTATTAAGTTTGTGATAAGCAAGAATTGAATTTATATTCATCGACATGATGGTTAATTTGGGCATTTGGTAATACCTTCCACGCAAAAATGGTAGGAAAAAAAATGAGATCTTAGAAAAGTTGGTAGCACTTTGTAATTTGGACATTGGTCAAGTATGTCCTACAAGTTGAAGTTCCGTTCTTTTTTATTTTTCTTGGGTGGCTGACAAAGGCCTTCCTTCCGGTGTACCTGATAAGTTTGACCCAGGAGATTGATCATGGTTAAGCAGAAGTTAAATGCATGCACTGAAGCACATATACATAGTGGCTTATGATTAGGGATGGATATACTGACCGATTTGACTCGTTTAAAGCTCCACTAGTAAAATCCGTATTTTATATAAATAAGTCTGTTCTATAAAATAAATGAACTTATTTTTCAAGTTCGTATCTAATCTGTCCAAGTCGGAAGATAATGGACCGGTGTACGGATCTAAATATTAGTTTAAAAAATGAATTTTTAAAAAACTAAAATACATAAAATTAAAGGAAAAAGAATCTTTTTTTTATAAGTTAAATTTCATCACACTAAAATTTATCAACAGTTAAAATGATTTAAAATAATAAATATTAAAATGTTAAAATAAAAATAATTACAAATACTTATATAATAGTACCAAACTTTCAATAATAAAAACATCAAAATGTCATAAAAATAATTTAAATGACAAATATATATCAACTAAACATAGTTTTAATATCATAATAATTTAAAAGATTAAATACACAACTTAATATTAAAATATTAATATCTAAAAATATTAATTAATGAACGCAGACTAGCCTGTAAGCCCGCGGATTTCACGGACTGAACTAAAAAGTTAAACATAATCATACAAATTTGAAAAAAAAATGGGTCTGTTATTCGTGAAGTCCGTAAACTTACGGATCAGTCTGCAGACCCGGATCCATCTACCCGCTCCTACTTATGATTAACCAAAGGACAATAATGAGCAGACCAAATTATTGTACTTCATAATCCAATCATAAACTTTTTTGAGCCTGTTTTTCTATTTTTTTAATTGATAATTAAAATTAAAAGGAGTAAGACAATAGACATTTCAAGGAGACTGGGTCATGTGTAGTATACTATGATGGTGACACAATCCCATCCTGAGCACCCACAAGACACACCGGGGCATCCTTCCATAATCACCATCGTATGTGGTCATTACCACTCTTCACACCCCAACCATCACCAAGGACCACATTACCACTCACACACCCCCACCTTCTATGCATAACTCATCTTTCAAACTAACTTTCTTCTAACAGATAAAATTATTGCATATTCATTTTATTCTTTTCTAATATCAACTCAAGTGGTACACATGGATAATATCATCTTGGTGAAGGGATATAAGATTCTGTGGTACATAAGAATTTAAAAGTTGTAAAGGTGAGAATACTTTTTTTTTATTTTTAATATTTTGTTTTTAAGTAAATATTACATGTAAATGTTATTAGTTAATTTAGATACAAATTTAGAAACACTTTTAAGAAGTGAAAATACTTTTTATTTTTAATAAATAAATTTTAAAAAATATTTCTAATTTGTATTCAAATAAATTCTAGAACAATATCAAACATATATATTTAATATAATTATATATTCAAATTTTGCACGTAATACTATAATATGATATAATATAATTGAATGTCTTGAAAAATAGTCTTTAACTATGTGATAGGGATCTTTGGACTAAAATATTGCATAGATGATACTAATTAATCAATGTCAAAATATATATATATATATATATATATATATA